GATTAGAACTGTTTAAGCATTTACATTCACATTCCTTAGAAAAAAAATTTTAAACAATCAACTTTTAAATTTTGTTAAAAATAGTTTGTAATAAAAAAAGTGTTGCATTTGATCGTAAATTAAAAAATATTGTTTAAATTATCATAAATAAAAAAAAATAATAACAGTTATCAGGCGAATTTGTTGCCACATTATTTATTAATTGAATCAATCTTCAATTGAAATTTCGACCTGTTAAAACTCTTAAATTTCTACTGGAGCTCTGTGCTGAATGACCTAATAGGTTTCAAGCAATATCTGCAAATTACAAGCTAAGACTGTCTAACTAACTAGAGTTACTGTCTTTTCAATCGAATTCAAAGAGAGCATAAAAAAAGTGAGACTTATTCAATTCAATGAGAATTAATTCTATCAGAATGAATCAGTAATCATAATTAAAAATCAGTTTAAAAATAAAGGATTAACAATGAAATACATACCGTTATATTCATATCGGCCCCACTGCGATATAGGCAGGAAATAGCTATCTTGTTGCCTTTAAGAACAGCATAATGTAAAGGAGTATAGCCTAGAACAATATTATAAACCATTATTGTTTTAAAGGAACTCAAAGAAAAAATGGAATTTTTTTTCTAAAACTTTTTTTCTATTTGAATTTTCTAAAGAATGCTCCAATTTTTTTTTTTTTATTATTCAATTGGAAAATTTTTGAAAAATCAGAATTAAAAAATAATAGTCATAAAATTTAAATCGATTTTAAGCGTAGATAGAAAATCAATGTCTAAAATTCAATTATAAAAGCTTTCATTTTTTATTAGTATCCTTAAAAAACATTCTAAAATTAACTATAGTCTAGTTTGAATCTTAAACTAAAATTACGAATTCAATTTTAAAACATTAACTAAAATTGTTTACATTTTATAATACAAAAATAATTATTACAGCAAAATAATTTGAAATGAAAAAAAAAATGCACTGATATGCAGTATTTAATAAAAAAATATCTTTTTAAACAACCAATTTAAAATAAAATTTTGTAGTTTTTATAATTATTTTCAATTTTAAATATATTTAGGTAACTAATTGTTTTATAATTTGTGTGGAAAAGCCTTGAAATAGATAAATAATTCCTTAAAATAGATAATAAAAAGATTTTACCTTCATGGTCCATAGAATTAAGTATGGAGTTTGCTTGTGGATGAGACAGAATTAGGCACAGGACGTCTTTTTTTGCTTCCGTTTTCACTGCTAAGTGGATAACAGAATTTCCGTTTCTATCCTTCATTGTAAGGGATGAACCACATTTTAACAATAATTTTACCATTTCTATGTTGCCTAACATGACGGCTAAATGAAGAGGTGTCTAGAATAAAAACAGATGACATTAAATTATTAAAAAATTAAACAAAAGATTTTCTCAACATTTTATGAGATGCTATCTTTTAACATTTGAACTTAGGAGATAAGACTCTTAAATGAAAAAGTGGGAGTAAATAGAACATAAATACCTGGCGTAAGTAGTTAGTAAGATCAATGGATATTGTGGCTTTCAGCATGATGGCGCACAGCTTTTGCACAAGCTTTAAATTTTCTTGAACTACTGCCACATGAATTGGCCTGAAATTAATAAAAAAATTTTTCACTTTATTACATATTGTACACATAAGTACTTTTTATTTCAAGTTTAACAATAGAAGAAAATAAACAAACTCTACTATTTTTTACGCAATATACTCATTGCTAAGAGAACTTTTGGAAACTATAATATTTCTTTATTTCAGTACATTTTGAGTAAATTTATCTAAAAAAATAAACTAAATATGTGTGCTTTTCACTATTACTTTTCAACAAAAAAAAAAAATGTTTAAGAAATTTTATTAGATAAAGGTTAAAATTAAAAACACTTTCATCACTTAATATTGTATTTTTTAGCAATGCAGATAAATTGTTTAAAAAAAAGTTCTAGTAGCTCCATTAACAGTGCACACTTCACTATAGATTCTCCCTCATGAGGGGGAATGTATAGTGAAGAACATTTCATGTAGTCATATTATTTTTCCCACACAAATTCGCTTTCATATTAAAATATCGGTTAAAATTATTAATTAGCAAAAGTAATTTTACACAGCCTTTAGTTTTAATTACATGTTGATGTCCTAAATACTGTGTAAAATTTTGCTGATTAATAATCTTAACCGATATAGTTAAATATGTTTTAGATATGATAGCGAATTCCTAAAAATTGTTACTGTGCATCGAGAACATGGTGAGA